CCCAACCCTTCCACAATATATATGCACATAAAATTTGTCATAGCCATAATCATATTAGCAAATTTTCAAGAAAAATATTTTATCCAAAACTGTTAATGTAAGTTTGATGTATTTTTTGAGGGTGAAGTTATATGAAGCTTTTTTTCACTACTGTGTTAATATTCTTTTCTTGATCAAAGTCACCAAGGACTTTGGCTTGAATGTCTAATCTCCCTCAAGTCTTCGATCTCTTTCTTTTCATTCTTCGAAGCTTCTCGGTCTCCTCTCAAAGATCCGAAGCAAATGCCAGGCCTTTTTTCCTCCACTTCACTATCTCTTCTCTCGTCCTCCTCTTCTCAATTCTCTCTCTCTCTCTCTCTCTCTCTCTCTCTTTGTCCTCCATTTTTTTAGCTTCTCTTCTCTCTCTCATTCTCTATTTTGACGTGCCCTTTTTGTATCGCTGTGTTTCCTCTATCTCCTTCTCTCTTCTGCATCTCTAGCTCTCTTTTTTTAGTTTTGGATAGTGCTCTCTCTTTCCTCGGTGCTCTGTTTTTCTCTTCCTTGGTTTCCCTCTTCTCTTCCTCGGTCTATGTTTTTTCTCCCTTTTTTTGTCTGGTTCTCTTGTGCTTTTTCGCTGAAGCTTTCCTCTTCTTTGTTCAGGCTTCTTTTGTGCTTTATCGCTCTCTCCTTTCTCGATTTTTTGCTCTCACTCTCGTGCTCTGTTTTTCTGTATTTTTCTACATTTTTGTTTCTCTCCCTCTGTGCTCTGTTTTTCTTTCATTTTCACGTCCGTCTCCTCTCCAGTTTTCTATCATTCTCCAGTGTATCTCTTACTCGATCTTTTTTATCTATTTTTTCTTCTCGATTTTTCTCATCTCCATGCTCTGTTTTTTACTTCTCATGTATCTCTCACTCGGTCTTCCTTTTCTTTGTCTCTAGTCTTTCTTTTAAAGCAGATGAAGCTTGCATGTGAGAGCTGTTTGCGTGCTTCCTTTCTGCTCTGTTCTTCTCTCTTTTTCTCTTCTTTTTGTGTTGCAACGTGCATGCGTGTGTCTCTAGCTCTGTTTGCTTTACTTTTTCGTACGTGAAGCTTTTTTTTTTTTTTGGTTTCTTTTCTGCTATCTGTTTCTGCATCTCTAGCCAAAAGTTCAGGTCTATTTCGTTCGTGTGCATGTTTTATGTTTTCCATCTGCGAGTCTACTCTCCCTCTCTCACTTTTGCTTTTCTTTTCTCCTGTAACGTGCATGTCTTTCTCTCTTTCTATTTTTTGTGTGCTTTCATGTATCTTCTGCTCTCTCTCTTTCTCTCTCTCTCCCCTTCCTTTCTGTGTTTTGTCTCTGCTTCTTTATGCGTGTGTACGTGCTGTGTTTTTTCAGTTTATATATATATATATATATATATATATATATATAAATTTTAATGCCTTTTTTTCTTTTCTTTTTTTAATGCTTTCTTTTTTTGTTTTTCATATTATGTTAATCATAATTTTAAAAATCAGATTAAGAGAGAAAAATTTAATTTTGAATTAAGCAAGAATACCCTTCTTTTATTAGATTATTTTTTTGAAAATATAATCGTAAAAGAGATTAAATTTTATTTTTATATTTTTATATTTTTTTAGTTGAATTCATTATTATTTTTATTAAATTAAAAAAATACCCAAACAAAATACAATGTTCACAATTGTCCCTCTTTACTTATTTTTTATGTAAGTATATGAAAAAGTGTGTTTTTAAATTCTTACATAAGTGACAAGTAAAGATAGAACATATATTTTGATCGGCCATGCAATATCTATGAAATGACCTAATTGCCCCTGACACAACAAGATGTGACTAAATGCGAGACTATTGGATAACAAACATAATGAAATAATTTTTTTTATTTTTTTAATTTTAACAGTGTGATGAAGTGATGCGATGCAAATAGAAATGATTGAACAAGACTATTAGATAATGAACACAATGAAATGATTTGTGTCAAAATGACATGTTAAGTGTCAAGATGTGTATAACATGATCATGGTGGGAGTTCGCATAAGGAAAGGAGCAGCTTATTAAATCCACATGGTACTGGTGGCTTACTACTGGAATTAAAAGCTTGCCTTAGTATTGACCATTGGAATTGAAAGGCAGCCATTGTCCTATGATTGATTTGGGACTTTCTTATGTGTTTTTTGAGGGATTCAAACCTAACTAGTTTTTACCAATTCATAAGAAGGCTAGATTAGGGGTACGATACCCTATGATTGTCAGTATTAGGAGAAATCATGGTACACAAATGAGTGAGTTAACCTTGACCTGATAGCTCCTCACAATTAAAAGGCTGAGTTAGTTTGAGTTATGGATGTAGCCACTTGATAGCAACTGGTTTCATGTCAGAGGTAGCAGGAGGATATAAAGTTGGCATTGATCATATATTTAGTCTCAACCACATGGTTATTATTATTGTGATCCGATGTGTTGTAGGGGCACATGGTTGTTAGTTTTGCAACCCCAGGACATGCATAATTGATGTATATGATGATATGTATTGTATGGTCGGTCACATGGTTGTTATTGTTGTGGTCGAGATTATATTTGTCATATGTGCGTTATATGTGAATTTATTACCATTTGCATCTATTTCTAATTGATGTGCAACTATATAAACTAGGTGGATCTTGGTTACTAGTGGTTATACTCACCCCACATTCTTTAATATTTTCAAGGCCTAACTCATTGAACCAAGATTAAGGAAAACGTTCTGACGCTTAGAATTTTGGGTGTCAATCCTACTTATAGGCCTTCTTGTTTTATGTTATATGTGTATTGAATGTTGTTAATTTATCAACTAGGATACATTCTATTATTTTGAACTACTTGCATTAGTGTTGTGGAAATCGTGTGTATTTTATGCCTGGATTAGTAAGCTATGATTGTAAAACTTGTATAGGGTCAAAATCCTTATGTAAGTAGGAAAAAGTGTATTTTGAGGTGTTATAAATGAATATTAATGAATTTGTACAAAGATTTCCTCCCCCTTGTATTTTATGAATTTAGGGTTGAGTGGTGAAATTATGATATGTGGGTGTTTGAATGGGTGTGATGTGTTGTATGAGTCTAAAATAGTTCTTTGAGTGTGGTATAAAGGTTGGTGTAGGCTTTTGGCACATATATGTGAGTTTGAGATGTTAACAAGTTGCACTTGCATTAGGTGGAATATATTTTTTATATTTCGACCTAGAATGTTATTTATGTGTTGTGTTTGTTATGGATTGAAACACTAGTATAAGTGTGGGATTAATACTTTGACATGTATTGTTGATGGTAATTATGCCATTAGGGTGTACTTTTGTTGAACCTGATAATGGTGCTAAGTGGGGTTTAGCAGCCATTTTGTAATTAATGTGTTTGGTTGAGTTTGTGACTATTTCAATAGGTGAGTTTTGATCCTAAGGCCTTTAGTAGTTGATTGGTGAGTTTGGATACCTATGGGTCTATTTTAAAGAAAAAAGTAGTTATTTTGTACTTTAAGTGTCCAATTCATAATTGGTGTATTATTTTGTTATGAATACAATGTTATTGGTTAGATGTTTTAATTAGTTATGTATAAACACTTGAATTGCTCAGATCAAACGATGCACTTCAAAAATTAGCTTTGGAATGCTATCATGAGATGTGCTCCATGATGTGTATCACCGAGGAGGGACTCACCCTTCTATGTGTCACGGCGGATAGGAAATGCCCATTTTGCCCCACAGTGCAACCTTTTATCTGATCTTTTTATCTTTTCATGTTTCCACAATGTTTGGTATTTCATCTTATTATTTGAACCAAACACTTTTCAAAAAAGATTTTCATGGGATCGTAATTTTTAAACTACTTATCCTTTACACTAATTTTCAACCCTCTTTCTATCATCACAATCCAATTTTATGGATTTAATATAATTCTATTCACCACAATAGAGTTATGTGTGAAGTGTTCTAGATGGACATTATGCTTATGTAAGTGTCTAGGGAATTTGTCACAATAAAGTCTAATTTATTTTGCATAAGATATTATCTTGTGAAAATATGTATTCCCTTCATCTAAAAATGTAAGGCATTTTTAACTGAATTTTACCTTAATAAAGTAATTACCTACTTTATAACTAATCCTATCTTTTTATATTTATTTCTATAAAACACTTTACAACAAACTTAAAATCATTTATCAATAGAGTCACTTTTAAAAAAAGAATAATGATTACACTTTAAAAAATTAAAAATGCCTTATATTTTTGAACATTTAACCTCTTAAAAAATGTTTTATATTTTTTAACGGAAGGAGTATATATTATTAAAAGTTGAATATTAACTTATATTTTTTGTTAAGATTATAAGTTAATATTCAATTTTAACAATATATATGTATTTTTACACGATAATATCCGATGCAAAATTGATAGGCTCTCATGATAATAATTTTTTTAGAGGACTTTAAATGTCATTTAATTGATATTTATGGAATTTGAAGTCTCGGATCATAAATTTTTTTCACTCAGCAAATATTGCGACTGTTTAAGAATTAATTATTATATTTTGAATTTTTTTAACAAAATGTCAAATATATTAAACACAATAAAATGATTACAAGGATCCAAGAAAAATAGTTAAAGTGTTAAACTATCCTCTTAGTCCATAAAATATAGAAACAGGGAACAACACTGAAAAGCTAGAACGATAAAAAGAATAGAGACGGCAACAATATCAACTTGAAAGAATTCTTCTAATGAGCCAATCAAAGAAGAGCTATCCAAGGAGATTTTTTTTTTTTTTAAATAAACATCCAAGAAGAGTTTCATGCATGAGAAGAAAATTCAATAGTAGATATTCAATACTTAATTGACGAAGTAAATCTAAATCTAAAATCTAATAAAAAAGAGTATGGCCCGCAGTGTATGCAATTTAGTAATAAAAAGGGGCCCTTTTTTGCCGTTTAATTTTAAAAGGGTTTACAACTTTAAATTCTCAGTATTACGCTTTCCTTTTTTTTTACGCAAATCTTATCTCATCTCATTATCACCAATTTACCGTCATCCCCTCCCCCCTCCGGACAAATCTCCAGTTCAGATACCGAGAAACAACAATTCCTTCTTAAGTAAGGGGTCATAAAATCTTCGACTATGTTCAAAGGAAGACATGTGGAGCAACTAGTCAAAAGAAAATAAGAATCGTATCAGCAGTGCAGCACCAAAAAAGAAAAAAGGAAAATAAAGATCGTCATCTTCTATTTTTCATCCGGCATGTTTGTAAATTAGGGTTCTAATATTTAGCCTATGGTAAAGTAGGCGAAGATTCGATATCCTAATTGTGATGCCATTTATATAGGCATTTTCTTATCGGAGGATAGATTCATGGGACAATTTGCAGGTCTAATATTGTTTACGCACTGAAGCCACCGCCATTGAGCCCCCGATAAAGGGCCATATAGGCCTGATCAAAGTCTCCATTGACGTTCCGCTAAAAATGCCTGTTCCTAATTTCTTTAGACATTGAATTCCGAAGAAAAGTTCTCATGTCAAACACGAAGCTGGAGCAATGGCAATGGGAAAACGCCACGGCCGGCGCCGTTGCAGGGTTTGCCACCGTCGCTGTCATGCATCCCCTGGACGTTGTCCGAACTAGGTTCCAAGGTTTTAGTTAACACTAACTAAAAAAGAAATCATTATATTACTGTAAACGCCAGCCAGCAGTCCAGCCCTCCTGCGAATGGTGTTATGATTTTTGGTAATTTTTCTGGCAGTTAATGACGGTCGAGTTCCCCTTGTTCCGAGTTATAAGAATACTGCTCACGCCATTTTCACCATTGCTCGCTCAGAGGTTTGTTCATCCAGTTTTTCACCCTTGTTAACTTTGTTTGTTATATATTTACTTCTTCGTTCGTTCTTGTGTGACCTTCGATTTCTATTACTTTTGGCGCACTTAATGGTGCTTCGTAGATTTTGATCTTTACTCCCTATTATCTAACTGCTGATTGACGTACCTTTACTCCTAGTATAACTATCGACGTCATCTTAACTCAGAAGGTTCCCTAATTTTCTGCTTTTGAGTGTCGAACAATTCTGGGTGAATTTTGATAATTATAGAGGAGCTGTGACCTGACTTGTATTATTAGGTTGACGGCTATTACAATGACATTTAGATTAGATACTGCCATATGAATTTATGCCATTTTATAGGATTTTAAGTATCTACCTTGTGGTATCATATATGAGGAGGGCAAATTACCTATGTTGCTGAACTATGCACGGGTCTTAAGAAAAGATTCCGGACAATCAAGCATTTTCCTTTTTCTCTCTTGAGAGCCAGGCTAGCATAAGTTATTAGTTTAAAGAACTTGGATAATTTCAGCATTAAACTGCACTCGGAGTATTTTCAATGCTCAGTTCCTTATTTGTAAATGAAAGGTTGCTTCAATCACTATACTTCTTTCTTTGTCATGTGTGTAGTCGCATTCATGATCTTGTCAATGAAAAGTTTACAGCTACAGATGATATATGTATGGATCATTCTTCCAGTAGTAATTGAGGGGTTTAATATTCTGATCAATTACTATGGGAGACAAACTTCAGATTTAAGACCTTTGCGTGTGTCATTCTATGAATATTTGATAGAGATTGAAGGGAAATAGAGAGAAAGAAATAACAACACTACCCTTTTATCCTTAATTCCCCTAATTACCCTTCCCATTCCCAATTCCCATGTATCAATATGCTCCATAAATGCCATGCTTTATTATGTTGCAGGGCTTAAGAGGTCTGTATGCAGGCTTGCTTCCTGCAGTCCTTGGGTCAACTATTTCGTGGAGTCTATACTTCTATTTGTGAGTACCAATTTCCATTGATGAGAAAATATTTGTATGAAGTCAACATCCAGCATATCATTTCTCTAGCAGATGTTCAATTGGAAGTTATGATTTTATACAGGATGGTAGAGTGTTAGGTTTTTTTTTTTCCCCTTTCATTTTAATCTTTTTTTTTTTTATAAAATTTTTCATTTTAATCTTGCCTGCATGTTTATGTATCTTGTATCCTCCAAAACTTTTAGCACATGTGACTCATGTCTAGGTTTTAACTTGAAACTTATTACTTTTTTATCTAAATTTCTTTTCTTATAGTTGAGTCACGAGGGATATTTTCTACTTGACAGTAGTTAATGGAAGAATTATTTGATTCTCTTAAGTAAATCATGCGTAATATTCTTTAGTTGTTAGTAGTTAAGGAGTGGGCATTCTTGATTATTAAAACCTGGAAACTTTATTTAAAATATTTTTTTGGAAGATATATCTGCTTACTCTTCACCCTTCAGCTTGTCAGGAGTTTTTTTTTTTTTTTGGGTGTATTTGTTCACTAGAATTCTGTGTCTTTTTGCCCTACAACTTGATTGTTTATTTTTATTTGTTGAATGGTCTATTTGATTTCTTTCTTAAAAGACCAAATTATTTACCCAAACTGTAGCTATGACAAAGCCAAACAAAGGTATGCAAGGAACAGGGAGGAGAAGTTGAGCCCTGGTTATCATCTCGCTTCAGCTGCTGAAGCAGGGACTTTGGTGAGTATGCAGAATCTTAATAATATAAATTTAGGAAAAGTTAATTCCCCAGTCCTTAAACTTTTACCTGATTTTTAATCAAGTCCTTGCAGTTTTTTATCTTTTTATTGGGTCCTTAGAGCAATTGATCCTTATGCCCATGATCTGTTAATTTGCAAACTAATGGTGTTAGTAGTTGGTGAGGTGGTGATAATATTGCTTTGACTTGGTGTACACATGTATTACTTTTGCCGCATAGACTATGCAAAAATTAACAAACAAACAAAAAAAAAAGTATCCTTTCTTCTTCTTCCTCTTCCCATCATATGTGCAAAAATAAAAATAAACTAGGCCCCAATGACGTGATTCAAGCAAGTGGCAGCAGATTTGAGCGCCAAGAATGTGATTTTTCTGACAAAGAGAAATGGAAAATGATGTCAAGCAATAGCTCCAACGGCAAGACAGTGGTAGTGGAAATCTAGCAGCCTCCTGCTGCAGCCACAATAGCCTACAAGTCTTCATCAATCCTTTTTCAGCTCCTCCTTTGCTGTTTGGTATTACAATCACTCTCTGTATCCCCTTCACCAATGTGCAGAACTGCATTGTGTCAATTCCATCACTCAATCCAATCACTCCTCTGGATCGAATTGGCAAGAGAGATCTGATGCTGGTTTGCTGGTTTAGTGCGTGACAAGAAAGAAATCAAATAGATCTATGATGTTTGCAAATTTCTATTGATTTGGTTCGGAGTCCAGCAAAAAGAGGACAAATGTGTGCATCTGTAAACTTGCAAAATATGAAAATTTCATTTCTAGATCCATGCCAGAGACACCTTTTTTTTCTTTTTGGTTCTTGTTTATATTTTTAAAAAATCTCTTTTATTTTATATTTTATGGAAACTTACATGTCCTTAATCACCATCCATATCTGCCCTGAGTAACCTTTATAACTGAGGAAACTATAGGGTTTCAATAAAAAGAAAGAAAAAAATTAAAAGGACTTGATTAAAAATCACATGAAACTATAAGGACTGGGGTATTAATTCTCCCATAAATTTATAACATATGCGTTACTGTTTAGTAAGATGTTTGACATATTACTCAACAACTGTTATTTGTTCTGGCATCCTGGAGTTGGGTTTCTCCCCAGGTTTTTATGAAGTATTTATATAGTCTTGTTTTATATATAGCAAAGTACATCCAAAGATAAATGTTTAGATTCTGCAATGAAAATTATTGTCTGAAGGGCATTTGAAAATAGAATTTATAAATATACCCTTCATGATTGTAATTATAGTGCAACTTCCCATATTGCTTAGCTAACTTTATAGTGCTAGAAGGTCAACTTCAAAATCAGCCAAATTTTTATCTGCACATTTCTGAACTTTGTGGAGACTGAACCTGCATTTTTGTAATACCAGCAACCTTGGCTGTCTTCGTTGGGCTTTCATTGACCCATGATGTTTGTCAGGTTTGCTTATGCACAAATCCTGTTTGGCTAGTAAAAACAAGAATGCAGCTTCAGACTCCTCTGCATCAAACACAACCGTATAATGGGATTTATGGTGATATGTCCTTGCCCTATCCTTGAATGTGCTTGAGTTTCTCTCTGTCTTTTTATATCTATTAGTCATATTCTAGATATGAGCTATTGAATTTAGAATTATTATTATTTTCTAAATCCAGAACTTTCTTCGTCTTAACTATGTTCACTCAAGATGAGTTCGAAATTCATATCTTGAATCTGGAAAATAGCTTCATTTGTCAGATTGATTTGCCTTTGATACATAGTATTCAGTAATCAGTAGTAAAGCATTTGGCCTTTCCACTTGAACGTGGTCATGGCATTGCCTTGCCCCCACTTTTTTTAATGCAAGAACAGTCAGACATTAACATCATGCATTCTTGTCATACAAAGCTATTTTAGGGCATTACTTTGCATGATGTTGGTTTTTAGGGTGTTTGGTTAATTAATACTCCCTCTGATCCTTATTGTAGAACACTTTCAACCATTTCACACATCTCAAGAAAAGTTAGTTTTTTTCTTGATGTCATAAAATAATTAGATATACTTTCATTTTTATCCTTGACTTTAAATCATGATAAAACTATATTAAATATCTTCTCGTTAATCAAGAAGGATAAAATTGAATAAAGTGGTTTAATTATTAGAAAGCGTTCTACATTTTGAATCAAAAAATACTTCTAAAAGGTGTTCTACAAATAGGATTGGAGGGGTATATTTTTTTAACCTCTTGCCCACTGTTGTAATTATTCAGATGATTTCATTTTCTTTCAGATGGGAATGTAATTTTAATGAGTCATCTACAGAACTTGACTACTCTTTTAATTTTTTGAATTAAATGGGAGGGGGTGAGTTTGCTTGTTTTAAGCACCTAACACTTGATGGTTAGAGAATATGTTGCTTACTGCGATTATATTCATTATTATATGATTTGCTAACAAATATTGTATTTTTCTTTTCTATAAAATCAATTATCAGATGCGTTTAAAACCATTTTGAAAGAAGAAGGATTGAGGGCACTGTACAGAGGACTTGTTCCTAGTCTTTTTCTGGTATGTTGCTCTCTTTGATATTTTTTCTGGTAAACCTTAGCTCTGAAAGTGTGGTTGAATGATGAATGTGATTTGTTGAATTCTGATTATGAATATCAACTTAATTGATGGCTGAAATACTGCTTCCATTTAACTCATGCATGATCTTCAAAATCAGTCGTACATTTTAATTGTGCACTGAGCTTTTATATTAATCTGGGGAAATTATTATTGAGGTTGCAATGTATATTGAAAATAAAATATATACCTACATTGGCATTATATATTAAAAATTATGTGTGCACTTCAGCAGGTCTCTCATGGTGCTATGCAGTTCATGGTATATGAAGAGTTTCGGAAAATGGTTATAGACTTGAAAAGCTCGGAAAGTGAAATGCGTCATCAAAACCCTGATATGCTGTTGGTGAGCTGATGGACCTTGTATGCACTTAACTTACTATTGCATATTTTGATTCTTACTAAATTTGTTTGAATGTCGATCTTTTAGACCAAGGTTGTTCCTAAATTTTCTAGACCAAATTAGGAAGCATTATCCCAGGTAGGTAGGGCAAAAGTGATTCAGCTTAAGAATCACTGTAAATGTTTGTTGCTTTTGTGTGGATAGTGGGTGGCATAAATTTGGGAAACTATTTAGACTGCTTTGGTCAAAGTGCATGTATATTGGCATCTGTTACCTCAGCTTGCTTGAACCTGCTACTGAGACAAAATCTTGGTTCGTGATTGATGTTTGTTGTCTTGACATAGGGCACAGCTTTTTTTTTTTTTTTTTATAGTGTAAAAAGTTTAGAATGAGTTAGATCCTGGAGACTTATTATGGCTAGGAGGGCACATCCATTATTTGATTCAAGTGAAATTCCCAAAAAAAAAAATAAAATCATTGGAATTCCTTTTATGCGTGTTATAATGAGTGCATCGCATATTGGCATTTTCATTTAAACCATCGATTTTTTTTTTTTAATATGTTGAATACATCAAGTTTGTTTATTGGTGTAAGTAACATTATTTGTACGCCACTTATTGCATGCCTTCTTATCCCTCTTCTTTTCTTGTTACCATTCATTTAATATAAAGAAAATTATTGTGATTGAAGCTTAATATAAAATATTAGATTTGAGAGATGCGCGGTGTTGCTCTTTATCACATTGCATCGACTATGTGCTAATGAAAGAAATTTAACTTTGTTTCTCTCTATAACTCCAACAATATACCCACTATCAATTTGGTTTTTCCTCTATATTTGATTTGTTACAAACTGTAAGGTTATATAAAGTTTGTTCCAAGTTTTTTGTCTGCACAGGCTGAAGACTTCTTGTCAAGCCTTATAATTATTCAGGAGAATTACATTGAAGCCCCACACAAGGAAATTAATTACTATAAGGGTCATTAACAATTGAACTAAGGTCACAAATGGCCTTAGTTCAATTATTAAAGGATTTTATAGTAATTAATTTTTTTTTGTGAGACCTGTATGTAATTTTCCCTAATTATATTGTTTTTTGTATTTCATTTTCTCCCCAGAATTCTATGGATTACGCTGTTCTTGGAGCAACCTCAAAAGTTGCTGCCACTCTTATAAGCTATCCATTTCAGGTAGTGTCCCACCTCTTTAACAGGCATGGATTGTAGAGTTTTCGAATGTTGTTTATCAAATTCAAAAGTTGCTTTCTGATGAGACATACTGGCTTGCCTTTTTTCCAGGTTCTACGGTCTCGATTGCAGGTATAGGATTCTGATTGAAAATTGAAGACTTCATACATATCAATATCAATATAAAATTTCAAATTTATAGCAAGCCGCACTATTTATAAAACTGTAAAAAGCGTGACTTATTTCTTAAATTCTTTCACTTCATAGAACGAACATCTAGTTTCATATTATAGGATTTTGATTGAAAAATGAAGGGAAATTCTGTATTATATTGCGTAAGTTCTGGTTGGATGCATAACTGAGTTTCTCTCTGCAGCAACGGCCTAGTGTTGGTGGGATTCCAAGATATATGGATAGCTGGCATGTCGTGAAGGAAACTGCACGGTGAGTTAAACAAAAATCATCCAAATTTAGGTTCAATTTGGTTGTTAGAAGGGAGTAGAATGGAATGAATTTTAAAAAATAAAAGTAAAAATAAGATAATTAAAATGTGAAGGGAAATAAATAAATCATGTCCATAAGAAAGAAGGGTAATCTAGTTTATGAGATTGAAAATAATGGTTCATAAAAGTTTTGAAGGGTGTGATAATTCTCACATTTGTAATATATAATATTGAGTTTTGTTATACTTATAGTGAAGGGTAGGGTGATTTAGTTCATTTTTATTTTTATTGTTTTAATCCATTCAATTTCCATCTTTTCTAGCAACCAACTAGAACCTTAGATTTGCATAAATTAGATGCGTTGGGAATTATCCACATACAATCTTTTGTAATTTGTATAACGTTGAAAACACAGTTATGGGGGTTCTTAAACAATGAAAAGAAGTATCATATCCGCTAAAAGAAAACCTACTTGTCAATAATTTAGAAATCATTCTCTTGCAAAATTGTATTATAATCTCCGTTGTTCCTGCAGGTTTGAAGGTGTTCGAGGTTTTTACAAAGGGATCACCCCAAATCTATTGAAAAATGTTCCTGCTTCATCAGTAACATTTATTGTCTATGAAAATGTGCTTAAATTGCTTAAACTAACTAGAAGGAATGACTAGTATTTCTTTTCTTCTTAAAAAAAAAAAAAGTTTTTGGGATCACACATCCTGCCCCTTTTGACATTTGTGACCGCAGGTTTGATCACATTTTTCCCCTTACTTTTTAATGATGGGGTTCTACACACAATTTGTAATCTCTGGGAACGGTTTACCAAGGTTGATAATTTAGTTCATGATCATGTGTTCAGGATGAATGCTATGGTTTTGAAGATATAACATTACTGCATGTTTAATGAAACTGTCCACTGATATTACGTAATGGGCCTAGACCCATCAAAGTTAAATTATTGTGCATGACAGGGCATACTGATGAATTTTCTGTCTGCAACGCTTCGCTCAAATTAAGGAAAGTCTACGCATTGCTCTGCAAAGATTGTTTACGAATGAAAGAAAGGATTTCAGCGGAGACTTCTTGTGCCTGTTCTTGATTGATAAAATGGTGGCCTTCTATGATAGCCACTTCAAGGTCAGGGACGAGGCTCTTGAACATTTCCCCTTGCGCATACTCTCTTGTTCCGCCACTAACAAAACCAATGTCCTTATCTCCAGTTATAAACTTGGTAGGAACTGTGATCTTTGCGTCTTGCCACGGTGCGAGAAGCTCCCACGTCCTGTAACAATAATCAAGGTTTTTCTTCTCAATACAAGACATGCTAATTTATTTATTATTCTTGTGAATGTAGTGATTATACGTGAGAGAAGATAGCAGTCTGAGACAGCATTTGCTTTGACGAATCAATTTTATGAGATTGAAATGCGTTAATTGAGATACTTCTAGATCATCTATCAACAATTCAGTACACAAGTATATCGATGAACTCAAGCATAGGCTAAAATCAAGGGTTTAGGAGTGACAGGCACAAAAATGTGACTTTTATTATTTGTTCGACAATATGGGTATATTATTATTTATTAAGGAGTTAAATGACAATATGGATGATAAACTATATATTTATGGGCGATTTGAACTTTAAACTTGTATTTGATACATTTTGAATCATGAATAATTAAATATGAGGTAACCTGACTCATGCCATTAATTTTAAGAAAAAGGTTTGTTAACTCATTTTCTCTGTCCTTCCTCTATCTTCATTTCTCTCTCTCTGTTTCTCCTCTCTCTTCATTTCTATATCCTCTAGCTTGCTCCTTCTTCTCCCTGACTATGAAGATCCCACCTCTACATTTTCAATCTAAAGACCCAAGGGATGAAGAAGAATGCTTCAACTTTCTCATAGATGAAGAAGACTTGTCCTTGTCTTCTTCTAAGCACTGCTATCCCTATCATCCCCATCCTTCCCTTGATACCACCATCAATTTTTCCTTCTCACCCACCATGGTTTCAACTTGGAATTCTTTGGCAACACCAGGTAGGCTTTCAATATCCTTCTCAAGACAACTTGTGCCTTTGCCGACAAGAATAGCACCCATATCCAACAACTCATGTGGATGCTTCCCCTCATGGCACTTGGGTCTCTTGCCATAGGAGAGCATATCAATGTAGCACTTGCCATAGATTTTGTAGTTTCCATGGGTACTAGGTGGAACACATTTTTAATGTTCATAGCACCTCGTGCATCATATTTTCCCATTACACACACACACACACACTTGATGTACTCTTTCAAGGATCTCATTATCTTTCCATTATTTAATTTTTAGTTGTATGTGAAATTGCAAATCCTCTTTCTTGATTTGTGAATAGGTTTGAGGAATGCTTGAGGTGGTTTCAGGTTTATTTTGAGGCATTGGAGGAGTGCTTCCCAAAGACAAGCAATGAAAGGTAGGGGTAAGCAAATAACCTAAAGCTCATCAAACCCACCCATACCCGGATGAAACGGGTAGGCTACTTTCATGGGTTAGCCCATGTTCAGTTTAAATAGGCAGGATAGGCTATGAGCTAGCCCTCGAGCAGCCCTCCTCTCGTTTACAGGTAAGTATTTAAACATATGTAAAAACTGCAAAACAATATGTTCTATATCCCTCCTTTGAAAATGAAAGCTAAAACCCTTATTCCAATTGCTCTCGCTGTTATTTGACTTTAACTTATGGCCGCTCACTCTTATTCAATCATCTCCCCCCACTAGTCATCTTTGTTGTCCCTCATCTCTTCGAGTCTCCAAGACTCCAATCATTATATCAGTGCTCTTGCTTCTTCTCTTTATAAAAAATAGGTTAGACTAGCTCTTATTAACTAGCTTGGGTTAGCCTAGCTTGTTTTAGAACGAACTTAAATAAGTTAAGCATGGGCACGAGCTGGCCCAACTCGTTTTTAAAAAAAATAGGACAGGCTATGGATAGCCTATTGCTCATCCCTAATGAAAGGCTCATGCTTGAAAGAGGGGCAAGCTAAGTGATGGTTGACTTGGTGGTCTGTGATTCATTAAAGCTAGTGGAGCGGCGAGAAAGGGCGAGAAGATGGTCGTTGCACATGCATGGGGTGGGTTAAATGAAGTCGTTAGAAGGAAGAAGGAGCACGTGAGAGGAGAGAGTGTGTGTGTTAATGGACTTTTCTTAAAATTAATGATAGAGGTCAGATTGTCCCAAATTTAATTGTTAGGAGAATTTCAACTAAGGATTAGAAAAGAGAAATATTTATCAGTTGGTTTTAAAAAAAAATCTAAAAATTCTTTGCAGGATTTCTAGACTAAATTAAAATAAAATGGGTGACTGAAATGCTTTTCTACAAAATTAACAAGTACTTGATTACTATCTAAATTTACTTGTTAATTCCTTACTTGTATTTGTTAATTCATTAACAATAGTTGTTAACTAGTTAACTAATTAATTCTATAACTCCATAATATTAAGAATATTACTTGTTAATTTCATAACTTTACTTACTAATTTGTCAATATGACTTGTTAACTATTTAACTTGACTTGTAAATCATTTACAAGACTTGTTCACTCAATTTGACTAAAAAGCACCATTATCAGTTGTTAATTTTCTTACTTTATTTGTTAAGTTATCAATATCAGTTATAAATTATCTTGTTTCACCTATCAATACATATTAATATTAGATTATTAGTTGTTAATTATCCAACTTTTATTTGTTAATTTACTAATATCAGTTGTAAATTACTTGATTTGACTTATCAATAATCATACTAATATTAGTTGTTAATTATCTAACTTTTACTCATTAATTTATCTATATTAGTTGTAAATTATATGACTTGCCAATAATCATACTAGTTCTATCATTTTGCCCTAAATATAGAATCATTAGTTGTTAATTCTCTAATTTTATTTGTTAATTTACCAATATCAATTGTCAATCTTTTTTTCTTTCTTTTGTAAAACGGCATCTCAATCTTTTTAACCACCCATTTTATTTCAATTCAGTCAAGAAATCTTGCAAAAAAATTTTAGATTTTTTTAAGACCCATTAGTGAATATTTCTCTTCCATAATCCTTGGCTGAAATTGTCTCTTAATTATTCAAAATTCAAAATATATCAAATATGAGTTTCTGATTCAAATCATCCTTGGGCGTAAGTTTAAAGTCCATATTACCATTTGACTCTTTATTAATTATATGGGGAAAATAAATATGAGCTATTTTACTCCAAAATGTAAACTAATGCAATTTTATATTGTTGGATATTGTCTAGTATAGAGTCCTTCCAACTTTATATAATAAACCATTGCAATGCATGGGGGAATCTAATTTGCTTTTCAAAAAGCACAATTTTTTATTTGCAAAATTTTGATATCATCTTAATAAATAACGAATACATTTTTTTTATCAATTTTGGAGGAGTTCGAATATGGATCAATATCTATTTATATCTCACTTCATCTTTATTATGGACGCGAATCTTGAATGATAAAATGAGTTTGGTTTTGAAAAGATTAAATGTAAAAGGGTAAAGTAGCATTTTTGTTCCTAAAGTATTCATCAAGGAGTGCCTAGCACTCTAAACTATTAATTAAAATAATTTTACCCTTAAAATAATTAAAACGAAGTATTTTTATCCTTACTGTCAAATTTTTAAAGTTGATCATTAAAAATATTAACTAGGATTTCAACATTGATCGTTAGGAAATTTAATAGAAAGAAAAAAAATGCTCTGTTTTAATTAGTTTATGGGCTAAATTGCTCCAACAAATAATTTAAGGTGTTGGGTGCTCTTTGTAAAATGCTTCAATCCAAAAATAAAAGTTTTCCAAAATAGGGATTGGAATGTTTTACGGTGGGTGTTCCCTAGTGGATATCCTAGTACAAATCTTCACCATCAATTTTGTCCTATGTGATCCAATAGTTGAAATTTCTACTTAATGAAACCACGTCGTTTTGAATAAAGGGATCTAAACCATCCTTTTTTTTTCAAGAAACCTTGACCGTGAAAGGCAAAAAAGTTAAAAGATTATTTTTATTCTCAAACTATACATAAAAGTTCACAAATGACGATAAAAATAATATTAAATTTAAATATAAATTATTTTTATTCTTTAACTTCAAAATTTTTTTTGTCTCATCACCCAGTCATTTCCTTTGTTTGTTTTTCTGTTAGTAGGCCAGCTTTAAATTTTTTTAATATTTTTCTATTATCAAATATTCTTAGTGGGTTTCGCATAACTTTTTTAATATTTTTATCTCTCCCTCTTATATCTATCCTCTTCTTCTTGGCTCATACTCTCCATCTCTCTCCCCCCTCCAACTCCTCCAACTCAAGCCCACCATCATGACGAGCATCACTATGGCCTAATAATAACAATACCGAAGAGGAGATGGAAGCAAGCTTGATGGATGGGTTTGTAACAAATAACAAAGAATCTCAAATGATCCCTGCAGTATTAAAGAAACAAGTAGAAGTTCTGGGGAAGAAAGCTTCATCTAGTATATTCCAATGGTAATGGGAAAGAGAAGCAACTAGTGGGAAATGGTTTGAGCCAAATAGTGCAGCCTTATCACCATCAACAAGCCACGAGCCCAAAACCACGTATCGCTTATGGGTGTCCTCTCTCTCTAGCCCTCATCCTCGACCACGCATGGCACTTGAAGGGTTAAGGTACGTTTACTAGAAGGGTGGTGGAGCACTGCTCTTATGGTATCGTGGTAGTAGTTGGTAGGCATGGTGATCTCTATTTCCAATAGAAAAAATTGGGGAGAATAGAGTGTTTTCAAAGGCCAAGGTTGGTGCTAAGCTGTGATGAAACCATACTTGTTGTGTGGTTTTTTAAGGGAAGATAGTACTAATTATAAGGGGTGACTTTAGGATAGGAAGAGCCGTGTGCGACTTGTTTTCCTTAGAAGGAGCCATTGTGGCCTTTACGTACGTGAACAGACAAGAGGATAAAGACGCAAAGGACACGCTTGAAATGATCAACAGGGCTAAGGCTTCAAATGCGAAGGAGCCAATGGCCATATCGATCGACGTGGGTTGCGACGAGAACTGCATGATGAGGTGGTAAATAGGTACAATAGGATTGATGTCTCGATCAACAACGTGGCCAAGCAGTATGAGGTTAGTCAGTAGAGGAGATCGATGAGAAGAGGCTGAACAGGTTGTTTAAAACCAACATATTTGCTTATTTCTTCATGGCCAAGTCATAGAATGTGGAATATATTTGCTTGTTATCTAATTTATTAGGTATAATTTACAAACAACATGATGTGTATTTGAATATAGGCATGTGTTGAAGCATATGAAGGAGGGAAGTAACATCATTAACACAACATCAGTGATAGTGTACTAAGGGAATGTGAAGCTATTAGATTACATGATTATGAAGGGGGTGATAGTGGCATTTATAAAGGGACTGTTGCTGCAACTGGCAAGCAAGAAAATAAGAGTGAATAGGGTGGCACTCCATTGATTCCAGCTTCCTTCAAGGAGGATGAAACCTTTTAGTTTAGTTAGGAGGTGTCTATAGAGAGCATGACTTTGATTCAAACAAGAATAATCTTTTGAAAGAGTGAGGGGGGAGAGAGGGAACAGAGGAAGAGAAAAAAATATTAAAATAAATGATTGGTTAGACCCACTTAAATATTTTGTAACAAAAAATATTAAAATTAAAAAGTGGGCCCCACTAATGAGGAAGTCAACAAAAAAAATGAATTGGTGATGAAATAAAAAATATTTAAAGTTAAAGGATATAAATTACCTATGATTGAATTAAGAGTTATTTGTGAGCTTTTGTGTATAATTCAGAAACAAAAATGACCCTTAACCTAAGGCAAAAATACATCTTCTCATTATAGACCAAAATGTCATGGCCTTGGAACTCTTGTGCCTTAAATCATGTGAGACCTAACTTGATCACTTTTTTTATTTTGGCTAAGCCAATCAAACTCTAATGTGGGCAAAGAAGTTAGACTAATAAAATGTAAGAGAGAGTAAAGAATTTGGATGAGGAAACTTGAGGGTTTTATTACTTTGTTTGATGGTTACAAATGAGGGTTATGGGAGGTATTTATAGACTTTTTGCTTATTATAGAATTTTCTTACCTTCTTAATGGACGATAAAGATCAATTCAATCTTCTAGTGTACATTCTTTCTCCAAAATATTTTACGTAAAATATATAGATATTTATAAAGACATGTCTAAAAACTAACTTTAAAATATGCCTGGAACATTCTAAAACAACCTAAAATATGTCATAATATTCTAGACATCTTCACATTCTTTCATAAGTTTTTAGAACCTTTTAAATACTTCTAAATATTTTTAAATTATTCTAGATATTTCTATATCATTCTAGATACGTCTAGAACATATTAAAATATATTAGATTCTTCTTAAATGTCATAGGCTTTTCTAAGATTCTCTGCATCGCCCTAAAAGTCTCTAAAAACACCTTAACCTTACAAATTTACTTGTATTATCACAAGAAGCTCTAAAAACATGCCGGAGGGGAGACGCAAGGACAATGAGGGCAAGCTTTTGCTGGCTTCAATTGCAATTGAGGTAAAGGAATCATGTTTAGGGGTACGATTTGTGAGAACCCAAGTGTCAATAAACAAATAAAAGTTAGGCTGGCATAGTCTTAAATATATATATATATATATATATATATAAATAATTGACTGCTAGGTCTTAAAAAATTTGATTCAAAATCACTTGAAAATCTTTTGCAACAGCTATTGGGGTTGAAATGCACACACGGATAACCCTGTACATACAAAACACTCACACACACACACACTCTCTCTCTCTCTCTCTAAGTTATATAAACAATATGTTAATAGCAGGAAAAGAAAAAAAGAAGGAAAATAATATGTCACTATTATTCTTTTCTCAAAAAGCTAATTAATTTAGTGAAACGCATGTGGTTAGAATTTACTCGAAACCTTTCTAATGTGGGAGGTAATAAGTAGGTGGCACCGTTGTTATAAAAGCCTTGTATATACACACACAAACACAATATACAGTGCAAACACAAGTAGCAGGTGATTTGATTCGAAAAGAAAATATAAATCCCACGCACCTGATATAGTATATGTAAAACACACACGTGCATATAATATAACGAGCAGGAGGCATTGAAATCCCTTCAAAGTTTTTTTTTTTTTTCAACCCATTGTTATTATTTTGTGATATACAATGCAAGCATAAATGTAAAGCATTTAAAAAAAAAAAAAAGAGCTTTCTTGTTCCTCTGAACGTGATTTCTTCGTCTCAAGTGCCTTCGTTTCATCTATGCAAGCCTAAATTATTTCTTCTCATTCTATTGTTGCATTTAAAACCCCCAAAAGGTTGCTTTCATTGTTCTTGCAACTCCCCAATTTTTTTTTTAAATTATTTACAGGTATCCTCTCATTGTAAGCAATCATATTTGAGACATAATCTGATATTAAATGTGGACATCTCTTATAATGAAAGTTCAAATATTGATCCATTATGTTATTAAGGATTACCTCCTACTACTAAACTCAAGTTTCGTTAATGACTCCCTTGTTTTCTGATATGATATAAGGGGGAAAGATGTATTTTTGCCATTGACGGTCAAGATTATTGAAAAAATGGATGGCCTAGATTCCTTTACGTAAAACGACCTCGTTTGACTGTGAAAAGATTAAATGTAAAATAAAATCTTTCCAAGTAAGACATAGGTCCGGAAAAATCTCAAGGACCTCAGCACGACTAATGTTTTAGAGGTTTTAAAGATTTTACGTCATGAATGGTGTCAATTTCAAGGTAATTTAGAGGAAGCCATGAAAGTACTTACAGGTCCAATGCACGGTAGTAATTGAGAGGGCCAGTGAAACCTGATTCCTGAAACTTGTCAGCAAAGATCTGCAGTTCCTCTTCACTTATCCATGAAGGCAAAACCGATGGCGTTGGCAAGAAATCAACAAGCTCCATGCCTTCAGGAGCTGTTAGAAGCTCCGCTTTAGTCAACAAGAACTTCTTCATCACCGTCAGACAGTCGTATCTGGCGAAAGCTCTCTCTGCTCGACCAGGCTTCTATTCCTCCAACCCACAAAACACACTAATTAATGAAATTTAATCCTATGTATATGATCCTCTGTAAAAACACTAAAAATAAGAATACCTGAAACTGGGAGACATGAATTTGCCGATCCCCAAATTTCTGAATGATAGCTTCCACTGGCTTCATGATTGGAGATCTTGGAAAGTATGGAACTGATAGAGCAACAAACCCCTTGACTCTGTCAGGCCTAAACAGACTCAGATACCATCCAACCATTGCTCCCCAGTCATGTCCAACTACAAATGCCTTTTATAAAGGCAGAAAAGATAATTGATCAAGTTGTGGCGGAGGTTCAAGCCTACACAAATTATTCATACATGCTTGTAGGCCGAGAGACAAATCATCAAATACCTGGTGTTCACCGAAATGATCAAGGAGACCAATAAGGTCTCCCACGAGGTGAAAGGCTGTGTAGGACTCGGGGTTGAGAGGACAGTCAGAATCACCATAGCCTCTCAGGTCAGGAGCAACTGCATGGTAACCTTGTTGTGCCAAGTAATTGAGCTGGTGGCGCCATGAATACCAAATTTCTGGGAAGCCATGGAGCAGGAGAACAAGCGGCCCTGTCCCTTGTTCAGCTACGTGCATCCATATCCCGTTGGTCTTGATTTTTTGGTGATTCACTTCACTCATGCTGACTGTACTTTTCTTTCTGTTATCTAAAGGGATGGGGGAGGGCAAGGGTTTTGGATGAAGAAATGAGGAGATGATGCAGAGTGAAATTGCAGGTAGAAGAGAATGATGATTTCGATGGGATAAGTCAGAGCACAAATTTGACTCGTTCAACCTTAATAGTATAAAGAAGCAGATGACGCAAGCAAGTTGAAGCTTAATGCAATCAATAAGAAAGTTAAAATCATGCGCCTGCATTCTGTGACGAGCACTTCTTACCCTCCATCCTAAAATGATATCTACTGTTTTTTTAAATTAATTTTTAAATATTTTTAATTTTATATTTATTAAAAAAATATTAAATTCAATCTATTTAAACTATTAATTTATAAAATTTACAATTTTTTAATATTAAATTATGTTATTTAAATTATACTTGATCTGTCTAAAATTTATTTAAACAGTTAAATTATAGAATTATAAAAAAATTTAATATTAAATTAAATTGTGAGGTTAAATCTACATTATTTAGATTGATTATAAAAAAATTTATTAAAATTTTAAAAAAATTTATATTAATGAATATAATATTAAAATATTTAAAAATTAATTTAAATTAATGATAAAGATTAATTTAAACTGAAATGATTGTTACTGATCCTGGCCCACACAAGCACCGAATGTAAATCCATAAATTATAACACAGCAAACTTTGGGAATTGAAGAATCTTTAATTTGTATGTGTTGTTGGTCAACTCACGCCAAATCTGGAAACTGTTCGCGTTTCGATTGCTTATTAAAGGCAGAAGAGAATGTGGCGGCCATGAGAGCCGGAGCCGGCGGCGGTCGTGCCCTTCGACGCGTCTCTTCCAATTTCATTGTCCTCCATCATCGGCTACGAGATCCACGGCCTTTCTTTGCCCAACCCATTTTCAACCCTAAATTCATGGCCCAAAAGGCAGATTCCTTGCCGATTCGGTCGGAATTGGAGGCCGATGGAAAGAAGGATAAAGACTCCGTGATGCCACCTAAAGAAGCTCCTCCGCCGCCGGAAAAGCCTCTGCCCGGTGATTGTTGTGGCAGTGGATGCGTCCGCTGTGTTTGGGATGTGTACTACGAAGAGCTTGAAGAATATAATAAGCTCTGTAAACAAAATCATACCCCTAAACCATAGCATTCTTGTACGATTTCTGATTGCTTGTTCATCGACTGTGATGACAGATTTGTTATAATTTGCTGCGCCTTGTTTACAACTATGAAATGTAATTGGCTTCAGTTAGGTCTCAAGACTCTAGTCCTTCTTATCTATGATTCTATTCACTTTTGTCCCAATGAATTTGTTTTTTTTTTCTTCTTGTTATTTATCTGATAATTGCTCTGACCAGGAAAATTTGCTGAATCTGAGTTTCCGGGAATTGCATTATCTTCCAACTCTGCTTAAAATAACCACAACATGTGGATGCACTATATATAAACTGCAAGTATATCTTTTTTGAATGCAAATTATAAATTGAATGGTGCAAGTATGCTTCATATCATGCCTTTACAGAGTTCGGCCGCTCCACGCCTTTCTTGGCGCAGAGCAAAGCCTCTTGGCTTTTGGAGGAGGTTATTTCTCAATGTAGAGATCTCAATTAGCTTTCCACTTCCTCGAGTGCGTCAGAGTCATCACGGATGATCAATTTAGCTCCTGGTCTTGCTATTCTATCAACCTCTGCCATTACAGGAACAAGGCTGCATCTGAAGAGCCAAAACAATAAAGCGGGATTAGTAATTTCACTAGGAAGAAAAGGTTGAAAACATCACTCCTTCCTTACATACCTGTTCTTCAAGTTTGAGAAAAGGCTATCTGCATGGAGGAGATCATAAGTTCGTGGATAGGTGCTAAAAGATTCACACCAATCATGGCATATCCCAAAAAGGACCACGTTCATGGATTATAAGAAGTGTGTCCGGAGAATCTATGCTCACCACATTCAACACCCAAACCGGATGTTCTCTCAATGCTGCTGCAAATTTGCAAAGACAAACATGACTTTTTTTTTGTGAACTATACGACAAGCCGATAAATGAACAAGACAAAGTATCCACGTAAATACATGTTCTAATTAGATTTCTACACACACACACAGACACACACACACACACACTATATATATATATATACACACACACACACTCAAGGTTGCAGTTCAAGCCGTATCAATACCCTCCATAGACAGCTCGCACGTCCATGATATTCCTCACATTAGACCAAGTAACGCGGATGTTGCTCAACTAGTCTACGACATTTTTCCAACGTTCAGTACCTGCCACAAAATCTTGAGAAGCTGATTTCCCATAGATTCCCATTTGCAAGTCGTTTAACCAGTGAGGGACTTTGCGCAGCCGACTAGGTCAAGCCTCAGGCCATCTGGCCCCTCTTTCATCCTTGTTAACCGGCGCCTTGTGCAAGCATCCCTGCAAAGGTACATACCTGTAAATATGATATGGCTAATCAAGATTAGAACTCCGATTTGTAATCTGCAAGTGTGATACTTCTCTAGAAGTTTTCGTCTTCAAGCAATGATTTTACCAAGATGCATTTGGATCTTCATTATCGTTGCACATTGGAGGAATGTTATGCTGCCTTTGCTTGTCGCATTCATTGGAAGTGGGTTTGCGGTAAATGGCTGCACTTATGCTGTTAAGTTGATCCTTGCTGATAGTCACGAGCTCCTAACACATGGACTTGGTTAATGAGGACATTTCTAGAAAAAAATTAGGAAAGGTCAGCCTGGTATAAATCTATATATTACTCATCATTTTCAATGCAGATTACTGGTATTTTCTTCTACCATTCCATATCTGGACATCTTGGAGCTTTTGGTACACTGGAGTAGCAGACCAGACAAAATATCCCCGGGGTCTTAGAACACGGTTCAATTCTAAAAGCAACAAGCCCTTACTGGTTAGTAATTGTAAATAATCAAAGCGGAAATATCAGTTTTAAATAAATCAACAGTGTTGTTGAGAACCATCTGCATGCAACGGCACTCTACAACGTGCACAGTGCACAAGATCAAAGACCATGCTGGGGAATGGCAGCCTTTGAGAACCCATTACCGAGGAAATGGCAGGTATTCCTCTCTCAATAGCAAATTGCACTAGGGCTATGTGTTCATCTTTTGGCCCAAAAGACATTGTAAGAGCATCTCTCTCAAATAAATAACCGCCAAAACCACACGAGTGCGCTTGCCCCATGCAATACTAGCTTCAGCCTACAACCACAAACCATTTGATCCCCCCAAAATTTTAAGAGATGTGGGTTTATTGGCAAGAAATTTCAATTTAACTAGTTAAAATTTTGGTAAGCAATATTATTTCAGAGTTTGCGCATGGGATGAATTTTTAAATGCGTTTTGCTGGGTGCTAGTGGGAAAAAAAATGCCCGTTGGTCACCTCTTGAATAAAATCAATGTAGTGGAGAGCGCCAAGAATGAATTGAGTGTCACCTCCAGGGAATGTCAAAAACTCGCCTGTCGCCTTCACCCAGTTCTCTTGCCCCTTCACCTCAGCAGTGTGTGCGGCACGTTGTAACACCATATCCGCTAAAACACATCAGTATATTTTTAATTTTATACGAAAAGGCTCTCCCAGTTGTTCAATGATTCAACTATTATTTTGAAGCACATCACCTTGTCTCTGCTACTAGGCCATTCAATGGGTGTCTTGTAACCTTTTGGAAGAGGCACCAAGCAAGAAGGTGCATCCTCTGGGCAATGTCTTTCTTTGTGTTCACAGTGTTTAGTACTGCGCAACTGCTTCAAAGCCTTTTCATTATCTAAACAAGGTATATAATCAGCACCTGCTGTGACATTGCAGAGATGCCATGTGTAATCTTGAAAATTTTCTGATTCTATACTTCTTGATTCATCCTTCTGTCTCTCTCTTTCGCCCCGCGATTGATCTGCTTGGATTGACCATGACTTATTCAACCCTTCGGGCAAAGACTTGCTCTCCTTTGACTGTTTTGCATTTTTGTTTCCACTCATCTTCTTCTTTTCTCCTAATTCTGGCTTCTTGGTTTCCTTCTGTTCAAATTTTGTCTTGTCGAGAGCTTTCGTTCTCAAGTGCTGCATTGGATTCCAGCTGTGAAGCCTTTGACGTGCTATGGATTTCAGAGTCTAGGTAAGAGTTAGAGGTTTTGTCTTGTTTCTTATCTAGTCGCTTTACATCTTCCTCTGTAATCCCCCCTTTGTCTTCTCTTAGTTGTTTCTCATTTTGTTCATCTTCATCATTTTTAGATTCTTGATCATCAAAACCATTTACATCTTGTCGCTGTCCTCAATTTAGTTCCTGGTTTTCATTGGCATTTTCATCCTGACCTCCTGTAATTTTGTTTTCCTTCGCATCCGAGTTCTCATCTTGATCGTCAAAATTCTTAATATCTGGTTGTTGTTCAGCATTTAGTTCTTGATGTTCCCCGGTATTTACATTCTGATATTCTTTGATTTTGTTTTTCCTTCACATCCAAGTTTTCATCTTGCACCCCAGCATTCTCTACTACGTCCTTCTGGTTTCCTTCAGATGCTTCAGTAATGCTACTCTGCTGAACTTTCTCAAACTCAGACACTTCCGTACCAGCGTGCTGGCAATCATTATGGGCATCAGCTCCATTTGTCTCGGAGGCTGCTTGTTTGTTATTTGGTATATCTTCCTCAGACAGCTGAGCCTCCCTGGTAAAACTCAGGTCATCATGTGGATCTTTGCTGGCGTCAGAATTGAGGATACCGTCATCAAGCTTGATGGCATCATTGGAGAGATTATTAGTATTGCCTTCATAGACACGATTGACGCCCTGGTCACGACTTCTGGAGGTGATTTCGACCGAGTCCGTGGAGCAGGAGAAATCATTGTGGGTTTCAGAGGCATGAACGGTATGCGTTTTAGGTCGATCTTGGGAATTGGGGTTTATCCTCCATATACCCGGAACACAAAGTGCAATTACAACTATGGCGATCAAGGGCGGTGCGTAAGACGAAGACGGGTACATCTTCTTCTTCCGGGATTTAGACAACGCCGTGAGATTATGGGCTCAGAGAGGGACTGAGATGGGGTTTGATTGTTTGTTGAGGAAGACGATCATTGCATGGAGAGGGAGGGAGAATGTGTTTGAAGACAGGCGTGGGCCGATAGTTTTTGGAGGAGGAAGGTGATGGAAATGAAGGGACGACCACGATGAGAAATTGGAAAGTGCTCAAAGATCCAGAAGAGTTGGATTAGCGGATTTCATTGATTTCTGTACGCGTGGGATCAGCCAAGAGACAAGTCCAAAGACCCAAGTCAATAATGGCACAGAAGTTGGCCCATCCACTTATCACCCACAAGCCCAAAGTTCAGAAGTGGACCCTTAGATTCTTGATTGGCGTATTATTTTACTTTGTCAAAGCCTTCAAGAGGGCCTTTCATGATATATATTAATATCTCGACACCCAAGTATCCTGGGAAGCGGATGATGTATCTTCTACTTAAAACACGCTACTTAATCCAAATCACGGTCCTGGCTAAAGCCATTAAAATAACAGCACAAATTAAAATGCAAAATAAAACCATTAACACACAAAATGTTATCAGTTTCAGCATCGGCGGACGGACGGATATAATTATTGGTCAATAAAGGCCAAAATGTGCGTGAGAAAACTTGGAAGGATGTGAGATGTGGTTGGGAACGATAGTATCTTAAAAAGGGATGCTTTACCGGAGTGAGTGGGCATACAAAAGGACTTGAATTAGGTACCAAACGAGATTTTTATGGCGTTCGAACAAAATGAATCTTTGAAAATTATGGTGAGGACAGAAGGATATGCACAAAAGGGGACAAGAGAGTATAATTTGTTGCAGACAGGAAGCCGATTGATGACCTTACCTACATTTGTTAATCTTCAAAAATTTAACCTGCCAATCAAGTTCTTTGTCTTGGTGAAGCTTTTCAGGGCTCCAATTGAATACGAACCATCCCTTCCTATTCTCATCCCTTTTCACTTTCCAAAGGTTTAGCGGTGGGTCGCCTTTCATTCATGCCATAACAGGTATGGGGTAACAATCATAAGCCTGTTTTCAGAATTATAATATAAATTCACATGTACCAGTGTGCTGTAGTCACGTGATGAAATTTTCTCCATTGCAAGACAACGGATAGCGACCCTTGCTCCATACTAATATGGGAAACTTGTACATCCAATCCCAATGAACGGTTCTAAAACTCAAGCTTTTCTATAATATACTAATAAAAAAAAATCACTTGTAGAAGTCTCGTATCATAACATTCTGAGGCATATGTAAAGCCACGGTTAGGAGGGTATCCATTTTTCAAGGGTCACATCCTTTGATTAATCAGAAGAAAGGTTCTTGTCTAGTGGCCCACGTCCAATAGAGAGAGGTATTTTCACTGTGATGTGATAGCCATTTTGAATTGATGGACTCTCTGATAAACTGGTTTCCAACCTTGATCCAATTCAAAGGTTGTTTAGATTCTATTCCCTCTTTAGTTCCCTTTTTTTTCCTTTTTCCTTTTCAATAATAATAATAATAATAATAAGCTAGTGACCTAATGGTAAACACATGGAGACCTATGCCACCTGGGGCCATCACTCAATGGTCGCTGTGAATAATGTATTTTGATGGGTGCATGGCAGCTTGAAAGCTCTTGGCCTTTGGTAGTCATGTTATCTTTGTATCATGATCTTCTTTGGAATGATTGAACCCACAGTGTGTTAAAATTCCCAATTTTGTCTGATTATAGGTCAGGGATCTAAAGTATCTTCATCATCCATCAACTTAATTAGGAACCATGATCATACTAACTATACCCCTTTTTTTAATTCAGCGTTTGATCCAAAATGGCAGCTGCAACAGTGCAGTGTAGCTTTGACGATTCTATAACTGAACATTGATTTGTCCTTGAAGCGTTCCCATAAATATGCCTTTGTACAATCCTGTACACTCAAATAATTAAACAGGTTTAGGGGCAGATTTTAGAACATACAGCTCGCAGCACATTGTATAAAAAAGTTCAAAGAACCAATCAAAATGGATATCATATTGGCATTAAATAATGAAAAGGGACTGCATGCAAAGTTTGGTGTTGCCTTATTGCTATATTGGGCGGTGCATCACTTTCACCAAGCACTCAGACCGAAGTATATATGGATCGCACTTGTAATTAGCCACTTGAACAATCGCGGCAGCTTCAAATCGATGGGGATTTCCAAAGCTACACATCACAGCCAAACCCTACGTACTTGACTTTTTTAAAAATTCGCTTTGTTTGTTAACTAAGTGGTTTTTACTAATCTAACGATCCTAAGTACATAAGCAAAACTTTATGATTGGAAAGATTTGGAAATTCTTTCTTGGGACAGGTTGAAGTGGCTAGCTATATGTACGTGAATGATTCTAGATCACAGGGACCCTACCCAAAGTCGAAGACAATCATCAAGAGACACATTTTATAACGAGACTGATATTATAAATTTTTGGGAAACCATTATAATCAATTTTGATGATCTAAAAGATTCTCTAACTTTTTTCGTGCAGGAAGGCCGCATTACTGGTTATGTGATGTATGCGTACGTACGCGTGCTACGAAAAGTGCATGTTCATCGTAGACACTGGAGTGGGACTTCATCTTAATTTTTAAAGACTGACATGCTTCGGTTACGGTTGATTCTTCTTTAAGGAAAATAAATCAGGTCGTGGGGTGGGTAGTGGTAGTACGTAATGAGACACAACGCCCTCAAATCCATGCTCTTTTTGGAAACCCCCTTGTGGGTTTGGTCTGACTTTATTTCTAATCTTAACAAACAATGGGCCATCTGGTCGTCGTCACTAAATTAAATATTTGCTTATCATAACCCGATTATCTCGTTCCTTATATCAGCTCGTTATAAAACCAACAGCCTTTAAGATATATATAAAAAATGAGACAATCATGTGCCCCCTCCAGCGGATTAACTTGTTCAAAATACTTGGTGAATTATTGTACTGCACGACATGATCCATCTTATATTGGGAGGAGCGCATGATTTTGCATTACATGACTAACTGAGAATAGGAAAACAAAGTCATCAGAGATAGGCTCGAGGGGATGGATTATTACCTTAGTCTGATCAGGGAATGGTATGCATGTCCCTTTTTCTTTGTCTGGAGAATAATCTGCAACAGTTGCGAAAGATTTTCAAGATGATGTTTGAACTGTTTATGATATTCACATGCACATGCTTCTGCTTCTTCTCTGTTTATTTTGCTCTTTTTAATCATTTTCGCAGACAATAAATGTTTTCAAATCAAATGTGCAACTCTATTTGCAAGATGATGGGCACATAACAGCGTTTCAAAGTGAGTTCCTGTCCGTCTTTTGACACGAGGCTGCTGGTTATTGAAGTGCTTAATATTGAGTTAATGACTTTACTTTTGCTGCCTACATGACGTTACAATAATGACATAGTCTTCATAAAAGTAGTATGCCGAAAGATGATCAAGAGTTATAAAAGATCAATCCCTTTGAGCCCACAATACCATAATGACATATAGTTCATTAATTAGGCCACAATTTAGTGAATTAGGCAGCTTTAGAAAGTCAATGATCTCCCAAAAGAGCTTTTTAAAGTTTGGTTTTTAGGGTGGGCATGGACGAGCGACTAAGTCGCCAAACCAATAATGACACATATCATCGCCACAAGTCATGCATGTGGCTGCAAATTCCGAAACCAAACAAATATAAAGTTCTTTTGGTAGTTTTTTCTTTTTACCAAAAGAATTTCAAAAGAAAACTAAGTATTCGTCGGATTTAAGATCCCGGCCCTTCTGAACAACTGAGCAGAACTCTATTGCAAGCTACTTGAATGAGTACATGGCTGAAATCTAGTTATAGGGTTTTCAAAACCAATAAAAAAAAACTCCCTTTTGAAGTTGGTGATAATAAACTAGCTAGCTACTCAATTCATCTTTTTAAACGCAAAATGAATTATGCTTGCATTATGTGTGCAATAACATCATGGCAAAGTCAAGTGGGTATGTAGACATGTGGTCCATACCTAGCATGACAAATCAAATCGGTGTTTGGGTGCGGTGTCAACTATAGATTGAGACATGATATATAACAGTATCAAGCTTTAAATTTTTTCCATATGTGTGTGGAGGTAAAAAGGAAAATAATTACGAGCCCTCACGGCCCAAGGATATGTCCCTAGCATCCTTGAGTAGACAACTTGCTTCCAAAACATTTTCAAACTTCAGAGCCAATTGTATCCAATTAATTAAATAGCCGAAAATAATTAAAATTAAAATATACTTCATCTTACGAAAGCTGAGGCTAATGATCTTATGGATGTCGTTATGTTTGTTGAGGTAAAAAGAAAAACAAATCTGTTATTCTATTTTCCCCCAATAATTACGAAAAATATAACACAAATTAAAGCTAGATGAATGAAATTAAGTCCCGAGGCGAAAGTCAGTAACCAAGCGTATTGTTTGATAAACTTTAATTAATCAGGAATTTAAATTCCACTATGTGTTTTCAAATTGTCACTGATACTGGAGCAATGATTACTACAAAAATTCTTTCTGGAACAGGAAATATTGGATTTCCCCTGCTTCTGGATTAAGGAGATCCCGAAAAAATCCAGGTAAAGAGCTTCTTATTAATACGATATTGAAGCAGTCTAAGTTATTAGCCGGCTAGCTATAGCTAGCTAGGTATAATTCCCCATCATGCACGTCTCTTTCTATTTTACGGGTAACAACATTCTGGCTTTAGATCCTAATCAGTTCATCGGAGCTGACCAGAGACAATAGCGGCCACTCATGTTTTCAGGTTAATTAAGAGGTTATATCTGAGCAAAAATATTTATAACATAGTCAACGACTAGCACCCAATATCTTAAAATGACAAAAAAGGATAAAAATATCCATAACATTATATATATGGGTGTAAAAATAATTAGACTATTAACTTTGACTTAACACCATTAATTTTAACCGTTAAATGCTGATTGTGCATGCCACGTGTCAGTCTTTGCTGACATGGACTAAGAAAAGGGTAAAAATACTCACGAAGTCATCAACCAAGAGTAAAAATATCCATAACGTTATCAGAATTGGTGCAAAAGTAACTAATATATTCAATCACTTAAATGTTAATCGTTTAGCTGACACCTAAGTAAAAGTTGACTATTTTTTTAGTAATGTAGATAAAAAATATTCTTAGATGAAATTCTCTAGAAGTTATTTGGTTATTGTATAAATATCATGTGAGAAAATATCATTTTGACTGAATATAAAATTAAATTGCTTGTTTTTTGCAACAGTAGCAAAAATCATTTAAAATTTTGAATCTATTGTGAATGCAATTACTTAAGGTTATGATAATGTTCTTAAGTTAGATGTGCTCAGTCTTGATCTTTAATTTTGAACAACCTATCTCACTATATTAAACCTCAAGTTTTA